TAGGCAAGATACTGAGCCCAGCTCTTGCATTCATGGACTGGGTGACCTTGTCTCTAAATTATTTTACACCTGGTTTCCCATCTGGCAAAATGGAGTTGATTAGCTTTGAAAAGCAGAGATACACACACATACACACATATACACACACACAAAAGAGAGAGGGAGAAATCTTTTTCATCTGACCATTTACTTCCCAATAGCTAAAACAGCCAGGGCTGGGCCAGGCCAAAGCCAGGAGTCAGGAACTCCAGCCAGGTCTCCCACGGTGGGTGGCAGGGCCATCCTACGTCCTTGGGCCATCTTCCATTTCTTTCCAGGCACTTTAACAGGGAATTGGAATGGGAGGTGGAGCAGCCAGGACTCGAACTGGAGTTCACTTGGGAAGCTGGCCTCGCAGGTGGCGGCTTAACCCACTGAGCAACAATGCCTGCCGGCCCATTAATAATAACATAATAAAAGTTCTAGAATTTCCTTTTTGAGCATGCCTGACTAGGGCCCCTCTCAGAATGAGACTGTGAACTCTGTGGCAGGGACACCTGGCCACAAAGTCATTGAGGAAGCAGGAGCCAGAAGCAGGACGCACTGTGCTATCTGAAATTTCTCAGGAACTGTGGAACATCCCACTTCCTTTCTTCTTCCCTCCTGCACTGCCAATTCCTGTAACACCTCCACCCCTATTCGGGGTTCCAGGACTGTTCTTCTCTATTTCCCTTCAGGGCACAGATCAAGGGTGTTACTTTTAGCAGAAGATGCATTTTTTCACTTTTAGAGAGGCCAAAAGGTAACCTGTAATATAGAAGCTTGACAAGAAAAGAATTTCGAGTCTTTCCCCATACACAAGGAGATGTCACCCGCTTGTAACCAGCCCTGAAGGACGCCCTTGCTCCTCAGGAGGAAATAGGACAGCCCACTGCACTTTTCTCAGCAGTGTCTTTGATAAGGTGAGCTCTGTATCAAAGAATCTTGAGAAGTTGGAAGAGAAAGGAGGGTCTACAGCATAGTGAGGAACAAATGTATGCCCTGTGGGAAATGACTTGAAATGGCTAGAGATTCTGGGGAGTTCAGATTTTCATTCAACACATGTTTATGGGGTCTCATATACACAAGTGCAGAGCTCCAGGCAGTGCTGGGGAAAGACACAGCTGCAGGATGCCCAGGAGGAGACAAGGCAGCTGTTTCCAGCTGGAAGCACTCTCGAGTGGAAGAGAGGGGGAGCAATTAGGGGGAAAAGGAGCCAGTGTTTCCTAGGTCTGGGATTTTACATAGTAACATGCATTCAGTCCTCACAAAACTACTGTGAAGTATTATCTCATTCAGAGGAAACAAAGACTCCACGATGTTAAAGTCATTGCACAAGATCGTAACACATTCAAGAAACACAGCAGGAAACAGAGGGACACTGTCGGTTCCCATGGGGGTCGCAGTGCTAATGCAATTCTGAAGTTTGACATCCCTAGGTCACAAGCCCAGGTGTAAGACCCCCAGCAGTTTCCTGCTCTACACCTCACACCGTCCAACACAGATGGAGCAGTCTTTTACACCTCAGAGAAAATGAAGAAGCATGAGGTGGGGTTAGTGAGTGGTCTGGGCTCAGCATGCCCACCAGTTCAAATCTTATACCCATAAGCAAATAACAACTACCTCACGGCTCCCATTTATGGCAATCTTAGAGGAATTTTCCATATATCAAGTGCATCCCCCAGAAGATTCTATTTATGGGTGAGAGTGATATATAAAGTATATAGAATTTGAAAGACTCCCAGTTCAATGCTGTACTGGTTTGGGTGGGTTTCTTTATCTCTCTGAGCCCTTGTTTGCTCCAACTGCTTATGAATGACAATAAAGCAGCCAATTTTTAATTATTATCCATCATTAGTAAGTATAAAATAGTTATAATTAATTAGCAGTAACAATACAAATATTACAAGGATTAAACAAAGTTATCTAAAGAACCTAATATCTATTGTGTGCTTAATACACATTCCCTACCCTTACAGCTCAATCACTTCTCCCCTGTGAAAGGGAGGATGGCTGCAAACCTTTTTCCTGACACTAGCGAAGGAGAAAGGCCTTCCAGCTTAGAGCTGGGTCCTTGGCTTATGAATTATTCATTGTTGGTATTATTTACAGTTTATTAAGAGTTTGTCATGGACCTTCTCTTCCCTTAATGCTACCAGCAAACCTTACCAGTCATTTATACCATGGCATGAAAGTATTTGAGATGCTTTTCCTAAAATCAGATTTTTCTAAGAGAAGGGGTAAAGATATCAGACCCCTAGGGTTCGGGGGAAAACCAATCCCACACACTTAAAGGACTAGTCAATCTTACATATCCTTTGTAATCTTTTTAATGTCCTCTTTCCTGATGACTTATTAACATGCAAGGCAAAATGTAAATTTGCTAATAAAGCAGAAACAATTACTTTGGATGAACTTTGAGCAAAACCACAAAGATTTATTGGTGCAGGAGCTCTCTGTTTATACACCCTTACAAGCCTCAACAAAACTGAAGATTATAGTCATAATTATAGATTTCATTAGAGTTCACATTAGAAAATAAATATGCGTATAAATAGAAATCATTCCTTTCAGGAAAATGATTAGCATAGCCCAGGAGACTCAAAGTTAATTTTTCAACATAATATTAAGATATTATTTCTTTAGCTCCTACCTTGGATACTGGATGTGTATATGGAAAATAAAACATGTTTTTTCCTTTGTTCTCACACCATGACAGTTAACACAAAAGACTTCTCAAAGGTGTGGGAACTTCTCGCTACTAGCAAGCAAGCAAGTGGTTCTGTAGCACGCAGCTGCTGGGCGTCCTCTCATCCAGTCCCACCACAATCTACCTGGAGATGATATCAGATCCCAGAGGCTGGGGCTCAGTCCAAGACTGCAGTCCCTTGACTTCAGCTGCTGATAGCAAGCCCCGGGTAGTTTGACTTGTGCTTCTGGCTGACAAGTTGTAAGTTGGGGTTCCCACTACACCATTCCTGGGTTCAATTAATTTGCTTGCACACCTTGTTAACTCAGAAACACTTAGATTTACCGATTTGTTATAAAGGACACAGATAAAGAAATGGGGGCAGGAATGGGAGAAGCTTGAATGCCATCTCCGGGTACACGTCCCTCCAGGAACCTCCACACACTCTGTTCTCAGCTTTCTGAACCCTGTCCTTTTGGTTTTTTGTGAAGACTTCCCTGCGCAGGCATAATTAAAGCACGGACAACCATGGCAAACTGTGATTGGACAAAAAGAATAGGATCTGGCCAGCACCGTGGCTCAATAGGCTAATCCTCCGCCTAGCGGCGCCGGCACACCAGGTTCTAGTCCTGGTCGGGGTGCCGGATTCTGTCCCGGTTGCCCCTCTCCCAGGCCAGCTCTCTGCTGTGGCCAGGGAGTGCAGTGGAGGATGGCCCAAGTGCTTGGGCCCTGCACCCGCATGGGAAACCAGGAGAAGCACCTGGCTCCTGGCTTCGGATCAGTGCGGTGCGCCGGCCGCGGCGGCCATTGGAGGGTGAACCAAAGACAAAGGAAGACCTTTCTCTCTGTCTCTCTCTCTCTCACTGTCCACTCTGCCTGTCAAAAAAAAAAAAAAAAAAAAAAAAAAAAGAATAGGATATGCTAGTGGACTGCATAGGGGAACCCAGTGAGGCCTGTGAGTTCAGATCTTCTGGGGATCTCTGAGCAATGCTCATTCTTCCAAGGTATGGAACAGGATCTCAGTTATGAGGGTCTTATGAGCCACCATTAGGCAAGGTACATTAGAAACTTGCTTTATGGTTCATCCCCAGACAGAAAGCTGGAGAAATATTAGTAATTTTAGTGACCCACCTTGGGGAAGAGAAATTCTAGTTTCTATGGCCTGCCGTGGGGAGGGAATTATAAGCCAGGAACCATACCTGAAAACTAAATACACACACACACACACACACATATAACACAATATCCTACTGAGTAATAAATGTTACTAGCTGCATGAGCAGAACAGTGAATGGCTAAAAGCAACTTTTGCCTTCTCAAAAAGGATGGAAAGTATGGGATTGGGGCTGGCTTTGTGGTGCAGTGGGTAAAACCTCTGCCCATGGTGCAGCATCCCATATGGGCACCTTCTCTGATTCAGCTCCCTGCTAATACACCTGGAAAAGCTTCTCCAACTTCTACTTAAAAGCAATTCAAATGAAATGATCTTAGTGGCTGGCACTGTGGCATAGCAGCTAAAGCCACCGCCTGCAGTGCCAACATCCCTTATGGGGTGCTGGTTTGTGTCCTGTCTGCTCCATTTCTGACCCAGCTCTCTGCTGTGGCCTGGGAGAGCAGTAGAAGATGGCCCAAATGCTTGGGCCGCTGCACCCATGTGGGAGACCTGGAAGAGGCTCCTGGCTCTTGGCTTTGGCCTGGTGCAGCCCTAGCCCCTGTGGCCAATTGGGGAATGAGCCAGTAGAGGAAAATGTCTCTCTCGGGGCTGGTGCCGAGGCGTAGGTTAATCCTCTGCCTGGGGCGCCGGCATCTCATATGTGTGCTGGTTCTAGTCCCAGCTGCTCCTCTTCTGATCCAGCTCTCTGTTATGGCCTGGGAAAGCAGTAGAAGATGGCCCCAGTGCTTGGACTCCTGCACCTGCATGGAAGACTGGGAAGAAGCACCTGGCTCCTGGCTTCAGATTGGCGCAGCTCTGGCCGTTGCAGCCATTTGGGGAGTGAACCAATGGAAGGAAGACCTTTCTCTCTGTCTCTCCCTCTCACTGTCTGTAACTCTACCTCTCAAATAAATAAATAAAATCTTTTTAAAAAAAAAGAATCTCTCTCTCTCTCTCTCTCTCTCTCTCTCTATCACCCCCCACTTCTCTCTGTAACTCTGATTTTCAAATAAATAAATAAATAAATCTTTGAACAAAAAAAGAGTGGGATTATGAAACAGGTCTTGTTAAGAAATAAGCAGGGTTTCAAGTTTTTCGGTTACGAAAAAAGGATGTGCAGTTCACTTCCTCCTCTTTGTTTTCTGCAGAGCCCTAAGAGTGATAACGGAATTTGCTTCAATTTTCTGGGCCAGAAGACACTGGAGGCTGAACGCAGGCTGTAGTGACATTAACTCTCTAACTGTCCACAACGTCCTGGAGATACTTGAGTCAGTCAGGTAAGAAGAGTCTCTCAGAGGAAGAAAACCTGTGGCTCTCTCTTCATGTTACACTAGCTCAATGTTTGAGTTCCTATTTTTTTTCCAAGCCTGACTTATCTGATGCATTTCAAGCTTATTGTTCTAAACTACTATGTATTTACCCTAAGCAGAGAATCCTCAACATGCAAAGTTTATGAGCAATTGTCTTTAATATCAAGAAAAACAAAACTACTTATTCCTGGAGTAGGGAATCTTTGAGCAGGCATGTTTTGCTACATGACAATATTCATATATTCTCAAATGGTCTTGCTCCAGCTAAATATTCAGGTTCCAGAGAATACTAGAACATGCAGCAGGATGAAAACCCAGAGATTATGCCTCTTAAATGTACTTTCCAGCCTCTTGCTAAAAGCTCCACAAATCTCTGGACAAATACTCAAGAAGTTCTCAGAATCGGTCCCTCATGTATATCTAGAAGGTTCCTGTAACTGTCTAATTAAGATCTTTAGAGATCATCTTGAGTTAAACACAGGGGAAACTATACAAAATCAAAGCCGGACCACTGCATGGTAAACTATTCCTACTGAATACAATTTCTAACTTATTAAAAGTTAAATGAGCTGACCACACCATGCTTATTTATATTTATATAAATTTATTGTCAATATTTATGTATTGTCAATACTTTGTTGTTAGCATTTATTGTCAATACTTATTTCAGGTGACTGAGTTATTCCAGTGTTTGTGGAAAGCAGGCAGAGCACAAATCAATTAATCAATGAGAAAAATTTCTAAACACTGACTTTTAAATCACAGAACCATTACGGAGTCTGCGTAAATGCTTGAAATGAAGAAAGCACTTCAATCACCCTCTTCCATCGCCACCAACTTTTGTGGATGCTTTGAGGAAATGAAAAGCCAACATGATGGCCACTAAATAGCCCGATAGTCTAGAAGTAACTTGTTGCTTCCTGGCAGAAAAAAAATCTGGTAAGTAGCTTCAATAAAACAAAATGAAACCAAACTCTTCACCACTAGCTTGGCAGGTGGTGGGGGGGGGGGGATGTGGGGGTGGGAGCATGATTGGATCGGAATTGAGAAAATCAGGAAATACTTACGATCATTATAAATGTGCCCAAGAACTCGGAGAGCGCTTCTTTAGCCAAGCTGTTCTTCAAGACCAGTCTCTGTTTGAAGCTCTTCGTTTTCTGTCCGTTCTCGGACCGCATCCTGGGGCCTCTCCAAGGACCACTCTTGCTATCAGCTTTGTCTGGTCCCCACTCTCACTGGCACGTGAAATGGAACTTCCAACAGACGGTTCCTTGCGGAGATGTCTGCTGAGATTCTCGGACTGCAATTAAAAGTCTCTGACTTACTTCTCTTCTGGTGACACTGCCTTGCCCTAGTCACTGCTCTGTTCGAATTAGTGAATTATAACCTAAAATTCTCAATGCGATCCTTCTTGTGCCTCACAGATTAATAATTACCTTTATTCTCAAGGTATTTCTCTCTCTCTCTTTTTTTTCTCTTTCAAGAGATGTTGTGTTGGTTGTGTTGCCAAACCACAGAGATGGGCCCTGGTCCAGAAGAGATTTACATGTTACACAATTGCAGGCTTCTGATTCTTTTCCTGTATTAGGAAGTGGGTGGTTGGGTGTAGTTTAGAATTGTCAAACCAGGTAAATAAATATCGAATGTAAACATTCTTTACTGAAGGAGTTTTCCAGCAAACTTGAGAATATTTGGAAAATACAGGTTCATTCTCCAACAAAAGGAATCATGCTTGTTTCCTTCCAGGTTCATTTCAATGACTTCCTGACATCACTCTAAGGGTGGTAAGAACCACTGGGACCTTCTAGAGACAGAGAAACTGACACACAGAGAGAAGATTGCAAGCTTCACACTGAGAGTCTACAGTGTCACCTCCCTGGAGATGGAAAGTAGAAGGCAACTTTATGAGTTTCTTCTAAAGCACTCCAGTTTGGAAACCAAGTTATTCCCCTTCATTGACCATGGAATATTTAGACCAAATACATAGAAAACAAACAATTTCAGCTTGAGATTCTTACTGCATTGAGATGACTGAGCCAGAAAGAATCAACCTGACAATATGCACCTTAACTAAACAAGGAAGAAAATAAACACACCTGACCAAGGCTCATAGATTATCCCGTTTGAATCTGGTGAATTAACACGCTTGTAGGCAACAAACTGTGTTTGGGAATAGCTTTTTGTCTTGCCAAATAGTCAAGCCTTGTTTTTAAAGCTGATTTTCCTTTAGATATAGAATCTGGCAGTTGTTTCTCAATACCCCGGCAGTGCCAGAGTTAGTACCCACGCCCGTGTGCTTTCTTCCAACCTCCCACAGAGAAGCCAGCTCTGTTTCAGGCTCTCCCCTACCTTTTCAGGAGGTCTTCAGTCATTTCCAGCTGAGAAGGCAGGCAGGCAGGCAGGCTGGAGGTGAAGACATGGAGGAAGCAGCTGGGGAGAGTCCAAGGGCAAATGGAGATGCTTTATCTGTAGGTAAGATTTTGAATTGAGATCTAAAGAAGGTGTGTGCTGTTTGAGGTCACACCATTGCAGAACCTGGACTAACCCGCAGCATTTTGCATTTAACTAACTCCTGGTTAGCATAGGTATCATTCTCTGGAAGAGTTACAGATGGCCACATTATTCCCAAGTCTCAGTGGATGGACCAGAGAAACAGGACTTTCTTACTGTGATTACATCTAATAATACACAAGGGTGTTCTCTGGTCTCTTTGTTCACTCATCTAACAAATATTTACGGCGTACTCATTGTCAAGCACAGCACTTGGCAAAACTGCACCTGGTTCTAGCCCTTCACAGAGCCCTGCGTCTAGTTAGGGAGACAGACCTAAGGGAGGTAATCACACATGCACACATGCAGCATCACAACAGATGTGTGCTGTAAAGAGGGCTGCCACACAAGGTATTTGAAAAAGTTTGTGCAAAATGAAATTACATGATAAATTTATTTGGGCACAAAAAGTTCTGAAGTCCACGCGTATGAGGTGTCTTCAACAAGGTCACGAAAAATGTGTGCTATGAAAAAGCTATGCACGGATTCCAGTATTTTTTATTTTTTGACAGGCGCAGTGGACAGTGAGAGAGAGAGACAGAGAGAAAGGTCTTCCTTTGCCGTTGGTTCACCCTCCAATGGCCGCCGCGGCCAGCGCGCTGCAGCCGGCGCACCGCGCTGATCCGATGGCAGGAGCCAGGTACTTATCCTGGTATCTCATGGGGTGCAGGGCCCAAGTACTTGGGCCATCCTCCACTGCACTCCCTGGCCACAGCAGAGAGCTGGCCAGATCCCGGTATTTTTGCACCAAATAAACTTGTCTTTTCATTCCATTTTCCGCAATCTTTTTCCAGTACCCTCATGTTTCTGTGAGCAAATTTACCAAGATTTCACCTTGGTAGAGAGAGCGCTGGTGGCTTCTCCAGGGAAATCAGGTCTGAGCTGAGATCAGGAGGAAGCATGAGGGTTAACTACAGGAATTGGGGAAGGAAATGGAAGTACAAAGGCTGTGGGGGTGGGGTAGACACAGCATGATACCTATCAAAGAATAAGAGAAACACCCATGTGACTGGTTGCCAGAGTGAAGGAGCAAGTTTGCAGAATAAGCCTGAAGTCACTGGGCATGTGTTGGACCACACTGAATCATCTAAATAATGTTTAGGGCTAAAAGCCTAGTATACAATTGAGATATGATAATAATAAGCAGCAAGGTAATACCATCAGACTTGAGTTTTGGAAACATCAGCTTAGCTGTGTAGTGGAGAGTGGATTGGGGGAGACCCAAAGTAGGCACAGGTACATCCATTTGGGGAATATTGCAGAATTCCTGGACTGGGGTATTAGCTTTGACAATGGGGAAATGGGTTCAAGATTTCTTTATATTTTAATCCTGGAAAGACTTGGTGAGTTAGAATAAAGAAGACTAGGAGGAGCCAGTGCTGTGGCACAGTGGGTTAATGCCCTGGCCTGAAGTGCCGGCATCCCATATGGGCACCGGTTTGAGACCTGGCTGCTCCACTTCCTGTCCAGCTCTCAGCTATGGCCTGGGAAAGCAGTAGAAGATGACCAAAGTCCTTGGGCTCCTGCACCCATGTGGGAGACCGGGAAGAAGCTCCTGGCTCCTGGCTTCGGATTGGCACAGCTCTGGCTGTTGCGGCCATCTGGGGAGAGAACCATGGTGTGGAAGACCTCTCTCTCTGCCTCTGCCTCTCCTCTCTCTGTGTAACTCTGACTTTCAAATAAATAAATCTTTAAAAAAAAAAAAAGACTAGGAAAAGAGACTCATCAAAATTGGTTTCTTTTTTTTTTTTAAGATTTATATATTTATTTGAAAGTCATACGTGGCAAGGGCCGGAGCTGGGCCGATCCAAAGCCAGGAATCAGGAGCTTCTTCCAGGTCTCCCACACAGGTGCAGGAGCCCAAGGACTTGGGCCATCTTCTGCTGCTTTCCCAGGCCATAGCAGAGACCTGGATAAGAAGTGGAGCAGCTGGATCTCAAACCGGCACCCATATGGGATGTTGGCACTGCAGGCAGTGGCTTTACCGGCTACACCACAGTGCTGGCCCCTCAGGATTGGTTTCTGGATTCCTGTCTTGCCTGGGAAGACAAGGCTTAGTCCTAGGACAGGAAACTCTGGAGGAGGATCAAGATTGAAATGGAGGAGTCTTCATTCTGCTCATGTGCAGTTGAACCGCGAGTGTTTCGGAGAGATGTAAAGTAGGAAGTGGTATGGGTCCAGTTACAGTAGGAATGTCTGTGTGTTCCTAGAGGTGACCATTGAAGCCATGAGTACAGCTGAAGAGAGCAGAGGCTGAGCTTGAGATACTGAACATTTCATGCTTACATAGAAGAGGATGCAATTTTTATTATTTCTTTCATTCCACATTCAGATGTCAGTCATCCTTTCTACTCCATTCCCACAAACAACTCATCATCAAACGTAACTCATGCTCACTCCCCAGCCTGCAACTGAACAGAATATTCAGTAGTACTCTAAGAAGGTCAGCAATGAATAACATCACTCTCTTCCTGCATCTGAGGGGGAGCCTTTGTAGAACTACCATCAGTTGGAGGCATAGGGTTCCTTAATTTATTTTTTTCACTCATTCAGAAAAATCATCCGTTGAGTATTCACAATGTGTTAGGCACAGCATTAAGCACGGAGGATTTGCAAATGAGGAGTATAGATTTCTGCTGCTAAGGGATTTAGCCCAAGTGACAAAAATCTCAAATAGATACCAGGGGCGTGTGTTTGGCTTAGCAGTTAAGACACCAGTTGGGCTAGAGGCCTGGCTGCAGCTTCCTGCCAATGCAGACCCTGAAAGTTAGCAGGTGGTGGCTCAGGTAACTGGGTTCTTGTCACCCATGTGGGAGATTTTAGACTGAGTTCCCAGTTCCTGACTCTGGCCCAGCCCTTGTGGGCATTTGTGAAGTGAGATACCAAGTGCTACCCCCGCCCCCTTTCTCTCTCTGCATCAAGAATAAATTTTAAAACATAAAAGAATAAAGAAAATACATTATATTGTAAAAAAAAAAAGTTAGTGATACACATGATACCAAACCAAAATTCTAGCTGTCAGCACGTGGGCATCTGAGTGGTCACTCTGCATCTGCCAACTCATCCTGCTGTCAGTAGTTCTACAATTGTTGTGCTCCCTGGGCACCGTGTCATTCTGAATCTCCAGGGTCAGCCTATGCAGCTGCTCCAGTTCCCCCAGCTCTGTACCTTCCTGACTCCCAGATATTCTCCTGTCTACCTGGTTCTGCCTTGTGTAACCATCTTAGCCTACATGCATAGGATCCCAGGACAGAAGCCTGGCGTTTATAAAGGTTCTGACCTTACTTCCTAATCTCTCCAACCTTGGCCAACTCTACCTCCCCTCTACTTCAGAGTCCTGTTGCCTGCCACTGTTGAGACTTAGTCACCACCCAGTACTGCTTCCCTTTCGCAATCTTTTACACCAAGACTCATCTCACCGACTGAAACTTTCAGTCCTCACATTTTACCCACTCTCTGACTTTCCTAAATCTTTTTCCATCCTCCTCCTAAATTCCAGTCCCTCAATGCCTCCCTCTCCACCTCATTCTTACCTTGTGATTACCCAGGTTAATGATGCACTGACCAGCATCTCAGGTTCCACTGACCTGTTGGCTTTCTTCTACAGTGATGTTGCCAAAGCCCAATTCTCAGTACAACCAGCCATCTATTTATCTTGAATGTTCTTTTCTCAGGCTGCTGAACAATGCTGGAGAAAAACAAGTAAATGGATTATCAACTGACACTATTGTAGGTCGTGGTGATACAGCAGCACTGCAGTCTTCATCTTTTAAGGCTCCAGATTTCAGCATGGATTACAACCACCCCATTCTCAGAGACTCCAATTCAGTAGTGCTGGGACGCAGCCCAGGAGTCTCACAGGAGTACTTGAGCATTCAGAGGCCATGCCCAACTTCACACTGTGCCAACAGCATCCGCACACTTCTGTGTCCTTTCACTCCCAGCTCAACCCTCCTAGTCGGCTCATTGCTGTTTCTTCCAATCTATGGGTGAAACAAATAAGGCTCATTGGCTATACTTCCTTTTGTGTCCCTCCTCATCAAAAACTTGCCCAAGTTTTATTTATGCTGTCCTCCTTCCCTTTCTTCTTTCTTTCCAAAGTTGGCACCTAGCCTGGTGTTCTAGTCCAGCCCCTCTGTGACCTTGGTCAATTAACATTCCACTCACCCTCTTATTCTCCCTCAAATTAGCTTTTTTCCTGGGGCCTAAAACAAGCTCAACTCTCATATAATGAAAAAAATCCTTAAAGTTATTTCACTTCACTTATCTTTTCAACTGTTTCTTCCATTTTCTTTTCCTTTAGGGGGAAATAATTTTTTTCTCTAAATACAAAATCTTATTAAATTGGAAAAAAATCAGAATTATCTAAATTAAAACTTTACAATTTCTTGTAATCCCTGCCCTCAGAGATAGCCACTGTTAACCAGTTGGAATATATCCCTATATAATTTTTTAGTAGATCTATTTAAATATTTCTTCTTGGGCCGGCTCTGTGGCGCAGTGAGTTAACGCCCTGGCCTGAAGCGCCGGCATCCCATATGGGCGCCGGTTCTAGTCCACTTCCGATCCAGCTCTCTGCTATGGCCTGGGAAAGCAGTAGAAGATGGCCCAAGTCCTTGGGCTCCTGCACCCACGAGGGAAACCCAGAAGAAGCTCCTTGCTCCTGGCTTCCGATCGGCGCAGCTCCGGCTGTTGGGGCCAATTGGGGAGTGAACCATCGGATGGAAGACCTCTCTCTCTCTCTCTCTGTGTGTGTAACTCTGACTTTCAAATAAAATAAATAAATCTTAATAAATAAATAAATAAATATTTATTCTTTTTATCCTCTAAAAATGGAATTCTATTATATGAGTCTTTACTAGAATAATCTTTTTTTTCCCTCTGAAAAGATTCTGTTAATCTTTCCAGGCCAGTGTGTAAAATTCATCTGTTTCAATGGTTATGTAATATTCTCTTGTAGAAATATCATGATTTATACTATGTTCTTTTGATAGAGTATTGTTTCTCATTTTCCTCCATTTAAACAACACTGTGATGAGTATCTTTTTGTATATGCTTCTCTGTCTCTTAGCAGAACTTCCTAGAAGATGAATTACTGGTACATGCTATGCCTATTTAATGTTTTAAAAGGTCTGTTTATTTTAATGTCTTTAATATTGTGTAATGTGAAACTTTTCAATCTTTTCCAATCTAATAGTTAAAAATAATGCTAGCATTCATTTCTTGGGTTAACGGTGAGATTAATCATCATTCACATGTTAATTCTTTGTTTTTCTTCTTTTATAGCTTTTTTTACTTCTAATCATGCTTTCTTCTTATCTATGTGTTGACAAGGATTATGCAGAAAAATTACCCCTGCATTGCAAAGACATCTTTCTGAATAAAGGGACTGGGATGAACTTATTGTGTCTCACTGTGAAGAGTTCTACCTTCACACATGGACTTTTTTTTTTTTTACTTTTATTTAATGAATATGAATTTCCAAAGTACGATTTATGGATTACAATGGCTTCCCCCACATACCGTCCCTCCCACCCAAAACCCTCCCCTTTCCCACTCCCTCTCCCCTTCCATTCACATCAAGATTCATTTTCGATTCTCTTTATATACAGAGGATCAGTTTAGCATACATTAAGTAAAGATTTCAACAGTTTGCTCCCACACAGAAACATGAAGTGAAAAATACTGTTTGAGTACTAGTTATAGCATTAAATCTCAATGTACAGCACACTAAGGACAAAGATCCTACATGAGGAGTAAGTGCACAGTGACTCCTGTTGTTGACTTAACCAATTGACACTCTTGTTTATGGCATCAGTAATCACCCTAGTCTATGGCATCAGTAATCTCCCTCTGCTCCAGTTATGAGTTTTCAAGGCTATGGAAGCCCTCTGAGTTCTCCGACTCTTATCTTGTTTAGACAAGGTCATAGTCAAAGTGGAGGTTCTCTCCTCCCTTCAGAGAAAGGTACCTCCTTCTTTGAAGACCTGTTCTTTCCACTGGGATCTCACTCACAGAGATCTTTTGCCAGAGTGTCTTGGCTTTCCATGCCTGAAATACTCTCATGGGCTTTTCAGCCAGATCTGAATGCCTTTAGGGCTGATTCTGAGGCCAGAGTGCTATTTAGGACATCTGCCATTCTGTGAGTCTGCTGAGTATCTCACTTCCCATGTTGGATCACTCTCCCCTTTTATAAACTTTAACATTTATGTCCTGAACCCATTTCTTATCTTATTGCTTACTTTTTATTAATTTGTTTTATATATTTACAATGTAAGGTCATAAATAATTTAGCTGCATATAATCTTCAGTTAATCACAAATATTATTTTTAAAGATTTTATTTATTTATTTGAGAGGTAGAGTTACAGTCAGAGGCAGAGATAGAGAGAGGTCTTCCATCTGCTGCCTCATTCGCCAAATGGCTGCAACGGCCGGAGCTGAGCTGATCCGAAGTCAGGAGCCAGGAGCTTCTTCCGGGTCTCCCACATGGGTGCAGGGACCCTAGTGCTTGGGCCATCTTCTGTGGTTTCCCAAGCCATTGCAAGGAGCTGGATTAGAAGAGGAGCAGCTAGGACTAGAACTGGTGCCCATATGGGATGCCAGCGCTGAAGGCGGAGGATTAACCTGCTGCACTACAGTGCCTACCCTGGTCGTTAATCTTTTAACATATGATGCTTGTGTTTTGCTATCAAATAGAAATTTAGATAATTTTATGTACTCTGTTTTTAACTTTTGAGGTTTATGCTAAGAAAAAAAAAACTTTCTATATCCTCAAGTTACATAAACATTAAACTTTGTCCTATGTTTTATACCAGTAATTTCATGATTTTATTTTTACATTTAAATATTTAGTTTTTCTGGAATATATTTTGATTTCTAGTGTAAAGTAGGACTCTTAACTCTTTTCCCTAAATATTTTTAAATGAACAATTTATTTGGAAAGCTGAGAGAAAAGAGAAAGAGCGGGAAACACTGAGATCTCTCATCTGCTGATTCACTCCCCAAATGCCCACAATAGCCAGGGCCAGGCCAAAACCAAGAGCCAGGAACTTCATTTGGGCTGTCACCATCTATGGCAGGAGCTCAAGTACTTGGACCATCATTTGTTGTCTCCAAGGTGCATTAACAGGAAGCTGAATTGGAGACATAGAGCAGCTAAGACTTGAACCAGGCATTCTATATAGGATTTGGGTGTCCCACCCCTTCCTAAATATTTTTAAGGAAATACTTAAACTTAACAGTGTTGCTGGGTCTTGTGCACAATTTTACTTGTCACTTATTCTCCCAATAAAGAGAAAATTTTAAAAATTATTTCAGTGTACTTTATTTTTCTAAAACTCAATAATGTGTTAACCATCACAATAACTATATATCTTTGTTTTCTTTGTCTCTGTAAAAGTAAATATCTAGAACTGAGATTGCTGTGTCAGAGGGAATGTACATTTTATGTTGATAAATATTTTTGTGTTGCCCCCAGATAGATACTAACTTAAAGATGTATCCATAGTATGTGCTCAAATCCTTACTAACATTGAATGTGTTCCATCTTTTAAAATGTTAGAACTATGATAGGCAAAAATGATAAATTACTTTAAACTTTCACTTATTCATTATTTCACTTGAGATTTTTTTAAATTATGTGTATCACTATTCATAGTTATTCTGGTATTTAATGGTTCATACCATTTTGCTTCCCAAATATTTTGACAGTATTCCAAAGTTATTTGATTTGAAATACCATCTCACTGATAAAAATTTCAAAAGAAAAAAGTTGTGATTTTATTATTCTAATATTTTATATTTTTGATGTGTGTATAGTAGATAATTTTCATACATTTATTAGTTACATAAACTTTCAAATAATTTTTAAAGTTTCTGTTCCCAATTATAATTAATAAAAATCATTAGTTTTATGGAAAAAGTCATTATCCAATTTTCTGAATTAGAAATTTTCCATTCTCCAATTTCCATTATCCAATTTTCTGAATTTCTGAATTTTCTGAGGTATAGTCCATTTCTCTATTTATTCAATCTTTCTTTGCATTATTAACTAAAGATACTTTTTTCCATTGGGTCTTGTTAAGTTTAATTCTAGGTATTTGATATTTATTTGTATTAATTTTTAGAGTTATGATTAATCTTTTTTATTCTGTTTTCTTTGCTTATTTTTAAAGGCAGAGTGGCAGAGAGAAAAATGGAGAGGCAGAGAGATCTTTTATCTGTTAGTTCACTCCCCAAATGCCCAGCAACAGCTGGGGCTGGGCCAGGCTAAAATCAGGAGCCGGGAATTCCATCCAGGTCTCCCACGTGGGTGGCAGAGACCACGTACTTGAGCCATCCCAGGAACATTAGTAGGGAGCTGGATCAGAAGCAGAACAGCCAGCACTTGACCTGTTTCTCCAAAATGGGATACCTGTGTCACAGAGACTGTTTAACCTGCTATGCCACAGTGCTGCTCCCCTTTTATTCTATTTTCTTTTCCTTTTTTTTTAAGGTTTATTTATTTATTTGAAAGGCAGAGTTACAGAGAGGCAGAGGGAGGGGGGGAGAGAGAGAGAGAGAGAGAGAGAGAGAGAGAGAGAATCTCCAATGTGCTTACTCCCCAAAAGGCCGCAACTGAGCAGATCCAAAGCAAGAAGCCAGACTTTTTTCAGGTCTCTCATGTGGGTGCAGGGGCCCAAGTATCTGGGCCATCTTCTACTGCTTTAATAGGCCATAGCAAAGAGCTAGATTGGAAGTGGAGCAGCCGGGACTTGAACCAGCACTCAGGCAGGATGCCAGCA